GTTAGAATTTTTTTGAAATTTCTCCACGACCTCCACCGTTTTCAAATAAAACCATTTTAATGTGAATGAGCTGTGCTGATTATACTCGTTGACATGTTGATGATCACTACCCACACTTGCAAGAGAAAATTAACGATTGAGCGTTTTTTTAAAACTGAGCGGATAACTAATATGGAGTTCGTATTAATCGAACGTGGTCGTGCAATCGTCAACTTTCAGGGATGCAGCTTGATAGATCACATTTTTGATTTCGTTAGGTTTTTTAGATATATCTTCGTCTTCCTCAGTCTCATTTAAAAATTGATTAGGGTTGGGTAAGTTTGTTACAAGCTTGAGGTTCGTGACAATAAAAACTGCCGAATGAATTACCAAAATTTACACTTTTATTACCGAACACTAATTAAAACTTAAAAAACACTAATAATTAATCACACTGATTCACTTTATTTCGCTCCGAAGCTCCGCTTGTCTCGCCAAATTCAAAATAATCCTTTTATCGCGTCTTGCCGTGCCTTTTTATACACCTTTTTCACCGAAACATCCAGAATATTCCGGTAGATATGGGCGCCGACCGACCAGACGCAGAAAGTTCGAGTGTAGGGCTTCTAGAAAGCTTAACTCTTTGGTTCGATAATAGATGGCGCTGTTTGTCGAAAGTCATAATTGACATTTTTAGGAAGCCCTCGCTCTGGTCCCCGACACTTGATGGCGCTAGTGCCAGGTACATGACGTCAACTTAGGCGCGCAACAGTATTGTAAGGTACCGACAATATTATAGAGTCGACTCTCTTTAATTCTTCTTTCAATGAAATTGCCAGTTGCCTGGCAGACATCATATCTTGGCTTTCCAATGATTTTATTAAAAATTTAAAAGCAGTATACCTAATCGTACCAATTCAAATATTGTTCCAATTTGCGTATTAGAGTAGGTAATACCTAATTACTCATTACTTATGAAAATTTGTGGATAAATGTAAAATATTATCCATTAAATTCAATTTTGACTAAAATCAAGAGAAAACCGATTTTTGAATCTTAAAAACCGGATTTATAAAACTAGAAAATCCGGATATTTCAGTTATTTTCGAATTTCGAAGAATCCGGATTGCAATCTACATGCAGGAAGCCGATATATGCACGTGGCTCAGGACCGTGCTTTGTGGCATTCCTTGGAGGAGGCCTATGATCAGCAGTGGACTTGTGAAAAGGGCTGTAATGATGATGATGATGAGGTGGACTATATGATCGTATTAAAAAGACAGTCCCGACATATAGTGACCTGGCTTACTTTGCTCTGTTCTCCCGCTACAATGTTGCGTGTGAATTTAGTTGCTATTACGTTATTAAAAGCCTAATAAATGCCGGAGTTTCACATATCGTAATATAAACCTTAGAATTTCATCTTAATATAGTTTTCGGACAGGTAGAAATCTACTTAAGGACCTAGGGGTGAATAATGCCACCTATTTGGTCCGCTTATTTAACAATATAAATTTCACGATAACACTGAATCTGCAAGCGAGAAACAACTGTTAAGAAGCTTTCTATAAATAACTCAGTTTCAGCAATATAGGCGTTGTCAAGTCATTTAACGTTGGAAAGTATAAAACCAAAGTTTTATTTGAAGTTTCTTACTAAGCTTGTTTAAAAATACAAAAAAGAAACGTCTACACGTTGGCCAATAGCATTGGCCAACGTGTAGACATTCGCCACCGTGTTGGCCAACGTGTAGAGGCGCCGTAATATATATATATATATATATGTGTGTGTATTGTGTGTGTGTGTGTGTGTGTGTGTGTGTGAGTGCGCGCGCGTGCCGTGTGTGTGTGTGTATGTATGTATGTATGTAATGTACTTAAGGTTGCCACTGAAAATCAAGGCTAGGATGACACATCTTAGCGTTTCCTTAGTGGCAGTCCTATTTGGACCACTTCCCATAAAAAAGTTTTTTTTTTTAAATTTAGGTCTAGTTATAAGGTTATCTATACATAATGTTTATTTTGAGTATTTAGTGGTAATTTGTTAAGAAATGGCCTAATAAATATCTCTTTCATTCTTTCTTTCTACAAGGTACTAATCACGTGACTTAGAACCAACATAATTCTCGAAATGTAACCAGAATTGCGCAAGTTTAAGAATTTTCGTTTATAAGGATGATAAAATCATGATTCTTTGTTTAAGATGGTTACACGAGTGTTCTTAATATGTGTATAACTGGGTTATCCGTAAAAGCTCTGTTGCGCAGTAGCTAAGCGTGGGGTCGCGGGTTCGACCCGGAACAAGTATTTGTTTGGTCTGATAATATATTATTTTACTTGACTTGATCCCAACCGCAATATTTTTTTTTTGAAGATTTACAAACTTATTTACATTAGCGTTATTTATGGTATATATCTTAACTATAGATATTATTGTAAGATTTTCGATACCACTCGGAAGTTGATGTCCTAAAGAAAATCGGCTAAGTATAATAAGTATGTGAAAATCGTTGTATTCCATAATGGGAATATTGAATAATGTTTTAAAATTAACAATTCGTAAATTAACGTAATGGATAACAGCTTATATCTATACATAAAAACTTGTTTGTTCAAAAAACCTTGTTTCTTGATTACATACGTATATCAAGAATTGTCTTCACACCAGGAACACAATATGTTATTTATTTTGTTTGTTGGAATTTGAACTGTAAAATAAAAAATAATAATAATTTGATACTGAGAAATAAGCCGATTGATAATTTTGCAGATATGTATACAAATTATACCAATTTTAAATAACATTTAGTTGTCACTGTAATTATAATTTTAATTACTTCCCAAATTTTATTTACTTTGTTTTTTTTAATAACCCTATTTTTATCTTTCGTTTATGATAAATTATTTTGATTCGTTTCACCAGTTCACATGATTATTTCAATTGTCGAACTAGTATGGACTTGCATAGTTCATAGATATTTTTAATACTTGAACTATTAAGACAATAATATAGTTAAATTCACACTACTCGATTAAGGTGATACCTCGAAAATTTGATGGTTTTTCTATTTAACATATTTTTTTAAGTTTTATAGATTACAAACCAAAATTTTGGTATATGATTATTGACTATATGAACTTGGTTTGCATAAAAGGAAAACACGATATCATGTAATTTTCTCGATAGAAAAAAAATTGCAAAGTAGGCTCTAATTATTTACATTTCTTGATGATACCACACTATTTTTCCGAATAATTTCATGGAATTATTATTAAAGTATCTCTAATAATCATTTCTAAGTTCTTATATACCAGTTTTTAATCCATAACGAAGTTTTGTTTAAATAAATAAAAATGTTGTTTGGCGCTTACTTAGTTTTTTTCCGAGCGCTTGCTCGGTATGGCTATCTCATAATTTGCGTACTATGAAGTCATTGCATCACTTTCATTTTGACACTCCCGCAGTCGTCCGTTAGCTTCACCGACAAAGGAATAAGCCACGCCCCCAAAACTTCGATTCATTTTCAAGGTATCCTCTTAAGTAAATAATCATATATAATCAGGGTTTATCTGCTTTAATGCTTTTTGGTAATTTACATATTATAGAAATGTCCACTGCTTTGAGGTGGCATAAAATATTTTCCAAATTAACTTACGATAAAATATCATGATCATCATCACAGTCCTTCACGTTTCCACTGCTTAACATAGACCTCCCTTCCCTCCACTTGTATCCATCGACTTCCTGCATGTCTTTACCAGTTCGTCACTCCATCTAGTGAGGGGACGCCCTACGCTTCGCCTGCCGGTACGCGGCTGCCACTCGAGAAACTTTTCCCATCGGTTATCGGTTCTTTGAGCTATATGGCCGGCCCATTGCCACTTCAGCTTACTAATTCGTTGGGCTATGTCGGTCAGTCTGGTTCTACTGCGGATATCCTCATTCCTAAATTTATCATGCAGAGAAACTCCGAGCATAGCCTTCTCCATAGCTTGCTGTGCTACTTTAAGCTTCCTCATACGGCCAGCACTGAAGGACCACGTCTCAGTTCCATAGGTCATCACTGGCAACACGCACTGGTTGTACAATCTAGTTTAGAGGTATGCCTGACGAGAAAATGTGTCGTAATCTGCCGAACGTTGCCTAGCCGAGTTGAATCCGTCGATTTGACCTCTCGGTTGAAGTTGGACTTACCTGGTCGGACTACTTGTCCCAGGTAAACATACTCGTCAACAACTTCGAGCTTAGTGCTCCCAACAACCACCGGCAAAGGTGTAACATGAATATTACACATGACTTGCTTTGTCCATGTTCATCTTAAGATGTCGTTGCCGTTGAGAGACACCATTGAGGTCATTGAGCATAGTGATAAGGTTTTCCAGTAGCTTACTTGAAAACGTCATTACAATACAGCGATGAAAAGAGTTTCGGGTATATTATGTCACCCTGTCTTACACCTGTCTGCAGTTGAATAGGTTTCGTACTCTGGTTGTGTACTCTGATAGCCATCGTAGCCCTACTGTACAAATACTTCAGTACATGGGGATATAATGCCATAGTTGCCATGCTTGGCGAGCGCGATGGCAACCGCATTTTTTTATTGTTTATTGCTGTTATCAGAAAGATGCTGCTGCCCATCCTCTACCTGTCTCCCTCTGTCGCCTCTTACGACACCCACGGGAAGATATGGGTTAGTGGGTATTCTTACCTGCCCCTATATGGGGATAAATATATCTTACATAAATACAAGTACAATAAAATTTCTTTTTATGATTTAATATAATCTGGTGGTATGACATAATACTCAACATTTTCCTTAAGCCTTTGGCTACCGTGTCGGTCTCTTTGCACGGAGTATTGCATTTAAAATGTGACCGAAGTGATTTTAAGAGATGAACTAGGGGGAACTAACGTTATTTTCACACTCTAGTTTTGGGTCTGGTTGTCATTCGATTTTAACTTTAAATCCGCAAGTATGTAACTTGTATGGTGTACCACAAAATTAAATTTGTTTGTTACAGGATAAGTTATTTCCGTATGCAGAGGAAAAAGTAAAACAGTTTCTTGAAAGCCAGTGGGAACAAGATGATGTTAAAGAAGCTGTTACAGCTCTCCGGAAACTTGCTTTGGAAGATAAAGAGAAAAGTGTCGATGGAGTTGTCAATATTCCTGGAGAGGTATACTTGTTTTTTATAACTAGTTAATCATACACGGCGTTGCATAGTCAATAAAATATTGTCTTTGATTGATAATGAGTACTTTTAAATATTTTGAAATAAGAAAAAAAGTATTTTAATAAAGGTACTGTAACATTATTCATATTCGCCAATCACTTACATGCAGCGATCGCTAGCAAACGAACCAATGGGGAGACTCAAGTGCTATCTTCTACTACATTGCAGGAGAAAAGTCGTGTTTAGATGTAGAGAAATATAATAACTTTAAGTAACAAATAATTTTTAATAATAAATGATGATCATGAATGTTTCGTTCGTTTGAGCTGGTACACTAAAAGTATTGATGGTTCATTCATCTGTTTCTGAATGTTCTGGTACAACCAATCACAAACAATTGACGGAACCTTTTTAACTCGTGATTGGTGTAAATTTTAAATGAGTCGAAAACAGACTGAATCCCGAATAATCTGAAAGAATCGTTTTTAGTGTAGGGTACTGAAGACCGAAATAATCCATTTGAATGACCGATCCGAATGTATCGGTACGCGTTACGTCATGTACTAAAATGCTTAGGTCACGAGAAATGAATGATTGGCACATGTCTACTGAGTAGGTAGTACTTCCCTAACTATTTCTGTCATCAAATAGCGGCGCGTGCGACACTGTGTTGCATTTCGAAGGGCTATAGAGAACCAGTATAATTATTGATTACAGGCTGGAAGGCATTCCATCTTGTTTTATATTTCCTCAAAGAGGTGACTACGCATCTGTAACTTTCTTTGTTTGAAGTTAGTTGCAGGTGTCTAGGGGCTGCAGTAGCCATTTTCCATCAGCTAGACTGGAGTCAGGTATTCATTTGTCACTTCAAATTAATAAAAAAAAATATATTACTAGCAATCTGTCCTCGCTTTACACTGTTGATATCTGGATTCTTCAATATCTACCGGGTCCAACTATGCATTATAAGCCTTTGACCTTCGCGGAAGTGCAAGCAATAAGTTGACAAAGTTTTACTGCAATCTGATGAATGGTATGGCAGCGTATAAAATACGAACAAACAACAGTTAATTTTTATATATTAGATTATTATTAATTAGTTAATGTACTATGTTAGTGTGTACTTGCAGATAATATACCATACTTAATTATTACGTATTTATTTTCCAGGATGCATCAAAGGAGGATCAGATTGAGGGTGTGGTGAATAATGTGAAGTGGCAGATGTCTGCTGACCGTAAGGCGGGCCCATTAAAGCAGCTTCAGGGGCTCATCTGGAAGCAAGGCTATGATAATGGTGATATTAAGGGGCAGTAAGTTCTTGCACATTCTTTTTATGCAATATATGTATAGCTTAAATTGGCTTGTACTTAAGGTTAGAGCTTTATTGAAATATATATTATATATATATAAAGAATACCAATTAACAATGTTGTTGTTAAGCTTAAATAAATAAATTAACAGTACTAATAACTTTAAAAAAAAACTTATAGTCAACCAAATCTAAGAAATACATTTTGACATCTGTCAGACTTATAGCACCTAGCATGCCAACCAAAAAATGGGAACGTAAAATATTCGATTCTTAAAAAAATCGGTATCGATTATTTAGAGTTGGTAGTCATTTACAGTTTGGTTTGAATAATACCAGAATAAATTAAAAACGGATAATTTAAAACACAAGATTTATCAGTTTCTTCGTATTTGTTGTTGCTTATTTCTAGAGGCACAGTTATAAAAATTTAAGATTGAAACTAGATTCAAAATAGATTTATTCAATCACTTTCAGTACAACTAGGAGGGATGTCGTTGTTTATATTAATTATTATTGATTTTCAATAATGCAGTCAAAATTAATGTCTCTTTCAAAGTTATCCATATTCAATTTTTTGGTTTTTTCTACCACTTTTGCCCAATCATCCTTTGTGACATGGCTTCAACGATTTTTTTTATAGCATTGGGTGACAAACGAGCACACAGTTCACCTAATGGTAAGTGGATGCTATGGCCCATAGGCATACACATTTATCCTCAATTAAGAATCAAAATGCAAATGCGTTGTCACCCCTGAGGACTAAGATGGAATGCCTCGATTCCAGCAAAAGGGTCTCCGGTTCTCTTCTCACCATATGAAACACATCAGCATTACGCTGCTATTTTACGCTGGTATTCTGCCCTGGTTGAGCCGACCCATTCGTGCTACAACTATAATATAGATGTAGTGTGGCTCTACCACGTATAAAAAGATATTATAGAAGAAACTAAGTAGTGAAGCCGGCCACTGTCGAGCGTGTACCTGCTGTACTGCCATATGTTAGAGGAGTCACTGACAAGATTGGCTACATCTTGAAGCGCGCTTCCATCCAAACATACTTCAAGCCGCTGAAGAAGATTGGTCAGTTTTTACCATCAGTCAAGTGTAATGTCCCTCTGCAAGATGCAAGAGTGTACAAGCTTGATTGTGAATGTGGTCTCTCCTAGATAGGACAAACTAAAAGATCAATAAAAACCCGCGTTAAAGAACATATAGCTGATGTGAAGAATCGACGCTCCGGGAAGTCTGCAGTCTGTGAACACGTACAGGATCGCCCCCGTCACTACATCAGATTTGATAGACCGCAAATCCTCGCTAAAGAACACCGATTCCTTCCAAGGATGATTCGCGAGGCTATTGAAATCAAAAAACATCCTAATTTCAATAGAGAAGATGGCTGGGTGCTACCATCTGCTTGGGATCCTATAATAAATAAAATTAAATCCCAACCCAAGCATACAACTGCTAGACTTCAAGATACCATAAGTTCATACTGCATAGATCGGAACAAAAGTTAAATTTTAATCTATGGTAACCGCGGTTAACTATGACATATGGACGTTGAACATCTCAGTCCCGCCCGTGACCATGAGTGCTGTAAAGCGTTCGAAACGTCGGGTAATTAAAAAGTTTAATATGCGCGATAAATTCCGTAAAAACTAGTATTATTTCAATGTGTAGTGTTCGCGTAAATATAAGAAATCATTAGATTATGAATAATACTTCTTGAAAGTCACTTTTTTCATTTATATATTTTTTCATTTGTATACATCGCCTCAAAAATGAATTACTGATTCTGTGGAGTCGAGTAACTGGTATCGAAATGGCGCGATATTGAAACTATTTAGTAGTTATTTTAGCAAGGCCTTGTATATGAGTTTTTTGCATACAAAAATTTACTTTGACAAAGTGAAAAAATAAACTTGTTTTATTCATGATTCATGTAATTTTAGGAATTTTGAAAATAAAAATTAAATTAAACAAATAATACATTTAAGAAATTAATGATTCGATTATTAGAATATTTTTAACGATTACTTAATTATTTTGCCGATTATTCGCATAACAATGAATTTTAATCATCCAAACACTAAGGTAATATACATAGCGACATGTCATTGAAACGACGTCTAGTAAAAAAAGTCATCATCATCATCATCATTACAGCCCTTCACAAGTCCACTGCTGAACATAGGCCTCCCCCAAGTAATGCCACAAAGCACGGTCCTGAGCCACCTGCATCCATCGACTTCCTGCATGTCTTACCAGGTCGTCACTCCATCTAGTGGGGGGTCGCCCTACACTACGCCTACCGGTACGAGGCTGCCACTCGAGAACCTTTCTTCCCCATCGGTTATCGGTTCTTCGAGCTATATGGCCGGCCCATTGCCACTTCAGCTTACTAATCCGTTGGGCTATGTCGATCACTCTGGTTTTACTGCGGATATCCTCATTTCTGAGTCTATCACGCAGAGAAACTCCAAGCATAGCCCTCTCCATAGCTCGCTGAGCGACCTTAAGCGTCCTCATACGGCCAGCAGTGAAGGACCACGTCTCAGCTCCGTAAGTCATCACTGGCAACACGCACTGGTTGTACAATCTAGTTTTTAGAGATTGAGGTATACCTGACGAAAAGATATGTCGTAATTTCCCGAACGCTGCCCAGCCGAGTTGAATCCGTCGATTGACCTCTCGGTCGAAGTTGGACTTACCTAGTCGGACTATTTGTCCTAGGTAAACGTACTCGTCAACAACTTCGAGCATAGTGCTCCCAACAACTACCGGCATAGGTGTGACATGGACATTAAACATGATCTTTGTTTTGTCCATGTTCATCTTAAGACCTATCCGTTGGGAGGCACTATTGAGGTCATTGAGCATAATGCTTAAGTCCTCCAGCGATTCTGCCATAATGACTATATCGTCGGCAAATCGAAGGTGAGTGATGTACTCGCCATTGATGTTAATACCGTATCCTTTCCAGTCCAGTAGCTTGAAAACGTCTTCCAACGCAGCGGTGCAGAGTTTCGGGGATATAACATCACCCTGTCTTACACCTCTCTGCAGTTGGATAGGTTTCGAACTCTGGTTCTGTACTCGGATAGCCATCGTAGCCCTACTGTACAAACACTTCAGCACTTCGATGTACCGACAGTCAACTTGGCACCGCTGAAGGGACTGTAGCACCGCCCAAATTTCGACGGAATCAAAGGCTTTCTCATAGTCCACATATGCCAGGCAAAGTGGCAGATTGTACTCTTCGGTCTTCTGTACAATCTGCCGCAGGGTATGTATGTGGTATATGGTACTGAAGCCTTTTCGGAAACCGGCTTGTTCGGGAGGCTGGAAGTCGTCGAGTCTGCGTGCGAGACGATTCGTAATGACTCTCGAAAATAGCATGTAGACGCGGCTCAGAAGGGAAATCGGTCTCTAGTTCTTCAAGAGAGCGTTGTCGCCTTTCTTAAAGAACAAAACCACCGCGCTTCTGCTCCACGCCTCCGGAGTAGTGCCACCATAGAGGACGGAATTGAAGAGCTTCCGAAGGACTTCAAGTACCGGTTTTCCACCCGCTTTCAGAAGCTCCGCTGTAATTCCATCCTCGCCCGGGGCCTTGCCGTTTTTAAGGTGGTGGAGAGCCATTCTAATCTCGCTCAGACTGACGTCCGGGATATCATCGGAATAGTGTCGGATAAGACTTGCTCTTGGATCGTTACTCACACTTGCGTGTGGCTCCAACGATGATGTGTACAGCTGCCCATAGAACCTCTCAATCTCACTCAAAATCTCAGGTGTCCCGGAAACGATGTTGCCACACTCAGTCTTCAGCTTTGACAGTTGGCTCTTTCTGGCAGACAGATCTCTGGCAAAGACTTTGGAGCCCTGGTTCCGCTCGATCGCTTCTTTAATACGAGAAGTATTAAAGTTGCGTAAGTCTCGCCGCATGCATTTGGAGATCTGTCTGTTCAGTTGCCTGTATGCTGTCAAATCTGTTGACGATTGCAGCCTCATCTCCCGTCTAACAGCCATGAGATTAAGAGTGTGATCGGAGAGTTTTTGTGTTCTTCTGCGGCGGGTCTTGCAGAACTTAGCTCCGACCGCATGGACAGTTTCCACGAGCTTGTCGTTCATATCGTCCACTGCATTGCAATCTTCTAGGCACTGGAAGCGGTTACGTAACTCGAGCTGAAAGGTTTCGGGATTCTGGATTAGAGCACGAGGGGGACGGAGCGTTGACTTCATTAGACGAGACCTCTCCAACTTAACGTTTAGGTTCAGTGTGCCTCTAACCATTCGGTGATCGCTGCCAGTTTTCACCCTTGCGATCACTGAGACATCACTGAACAGTTGGCGTCTGGTCGTCATAATGAAGTCAATCTCATTTTTTGTCGAACCGTCGGGGCTCGACCAGGTCCACTTCCTGTGGGGCCGCTTCTGGAAGAAAGAGTTCATCATAAAGAGTCCCTCTTTCTCCATAAAGTCGGCCAGCTGCTGGCCCCTTCGGTTCCGTTGCCCTACTCCAAATTTCCCTACCTTCAGCTCACCGCTTTCTCTTGTGCCTAGTTTTGCGTTGAAGTCTCCCATCAGCACCGTGTAGTGGGTTTTGGAGGAATGTATGGCTCTGGAAATATCCTCATACATTTCCTCCACCTCCTCATCGGGATGTGCCGAGGTTGGTGCGTAAACCTGAATGACATTCAGCGAATACCGTTTGGTGATTCTGAGTATCAGGTACGCGACCCTCGTCGACACACTCCCAATCTTTACAACGTTGTTGACGAGAGACTTGTGGACGATAAATCCGACACCTCCTTGGGACAGATGGTCGCCCTCCCGGTGATAGAACAAGTTGCCGGACTCGAGGATTGCCGTGTCCTCCCCCTCTCTTCGGACCTCAGATAATCCTATAATATGCCAGTGCAACTTGTCTACCTCTTCTTCCAGCTCTAATATCTTCTCGTCAGTCCTCAGGGTGCGTGCGTTATATGTTGCCAGGTCGAGTCGTCGTAGGTAGCAACCGAACCTCCACCGGAGATTCTTAGCACCCCCTGCCCCGCCGTTACCATGGTCGCCACCGTAGCCAGGAATAGCGGGGCCGCCGGGGACTGGGGGCCGTCTGTTTGTGTATTTATTCATTGGGGGGTATTTGCCATAGTTGCCACGCTTGGCGAGCGGGTTGGCAACCGCAGTTTTTTATTACGTCACAGTTGTTATCAGGAAGATGCTGCTGCCCATCTCCTGCCTTCTCCCTCTGTCGCCTTTTACGACACCCACGGGAAGATATGGGGTAGTGGATATTCTCAACCGCCACTACACGGCAAGTAAAAAAAGTTAATACTAGTTATTTTTTAATAATTTGCTTTGTTTGAAAAATTCAAATTTAAATTAGTGATTAAAACTATACACGTTGTAATGAAATATAGATAACCTCATAATTCTTCGGATTTACGTAAAAGGTTATTTTAAATCCTGTGAGTACGCTTGTGCAAAGTTATTGCGGAATGATTAATGTGAAACGTCAAAAGGTATTTCTTAGATTTGGTTGACTATAAGTATTGTAGATATAATTGTAATTTTTATAAATTTTTAGTAATGTTAGAGCCACAAATGAGCAAACATTCCACCTGATGGTTAGTATCTGTTATAACTGACACCTGACTGACATGACAAACATCAAACGAGGCTATTACAAAATATCACTATCTCAGATAAACGTCTCACAGCCAGTAATAATAAACTTGACAATTATAAAAATTAAATTTTCAAATCTCAAAAAAAATTGTGGTCTTTACTCTATGAAACTTACCTGAAGTATACTCAGATTTCAGGGTTGCTTGAAGCAACTTAATACTTGTAACTTTCTTCCAAAAGTGGCTTTATTGTCGTTGCACAAATTATTTAAAATAATAAAGATAGAGTGAAAATAAAAGAGGAAAATGTGGTGATTGTGCTTTCTTAATCTATTTCGACCGCAGTTGCAACTCTTGATTGTTATCGAATGTAGGTAACTGCTATATAGTTGCACGAAATAATACTTATGCATTGATATATGTCTAGAAGACTATGTGATATATATAGTGTGTACCGAGAAATTGGATTGGGGAATATTACATCATCATTAACATAACTCACACAAGAAAAACAATACTTTTTACTTGTATAAAAATGAATCTTTCTTTTTTTGTTTCATATATCTTCCATTCATCTAATTATGATGAAACTTTGATGAGTTGTTGTGCGCATTCTCGCGAAGGTTTTTCACAAATAAAAATTAACAAATGCTTGTTTGTTCTTTTTGTATGTGTTCCATTTAATTACGAGCATTGTCTCACATGATTGGCACAGCTAGTACATATAATATTATTATTCCACGTGATATAGCGTACTTACATAAACATTGTAAATAAAAAAAATACTTGAATACTCTTACAGCCTATTAAAGTCCACTGCTGAACATAAGTCTCTTCCATAAATACAAAAAACCCATATGAGGAATAGTTGCAACGCTTGGCAAGGGGGTTGGCAACTGCAGTTTTTTTATTTTTAGTTGTTTTTAGTAAGATGCTTCTGCCCATCTGATTTGTTTCCCTCTATCGCCTCTTATGACACCCACTAGTCTGTATGTAATGGGGTAGTATATATTCATTCTCACACAGTAATATTTGAATATTTTACTAAATTTCATATGCTACAATGTAAAACATTGTAAAACAATGTTTCACATTGTAGCTTTATTTCAATTGATTTTGAGAAAGATTTTGTTAAACTTCTATGGAAATTTTTTGATTTTATTTTTGTAAAGATTGATGCTCTTGAGTTATATATTTATTATTTCTATTCCAGCGTTTATGATGACGTATCACCGGCCCTTGAGCAATGGCAATCTGTTGAAGGACAAAAAGTCTATATTTACTCTTCTGGTTCAGTCCAAGCACAGAAGCTGCTCTTTGGTCAATCTGAAGCGGGAGATCTCCTACGATTCATAGAAGGACACTTTGACACCGCTGTTGGCGCTAAGCAGGAGGCGGACAGTTATTCTGCGATAGCGGAGAGTATTGGCTGCAAACCTGATGAGATTCTGTTCCTTACTGATGTTGTAAAAGGTAAATATTTTTTTCAGACATCTATTACTGAAGATATTATTTATATAATATATTCTATAATATATAACTTCATAAAATCATTCTGTAAAATGGATGAATGAATCCATTCATATCATTGAGAGTCATAATGGTAAAACCACCTTTTATCTGCCATAAGAAAAATATTAAGACTGGTTTTCAGGGTGCAGTCATAAACGTGTGGGATTTCGGAATCTGCGATATTCAATACGCATATAAGCGTGGTATATAACGAAAGTTATTGTATATTTATAACCTGCCCTACCAAAAAAGTACGGCGTACACAACGTTGCAATCGCGAGTCATGATGTTTGCCTGTATTTGGTTTTTGTTTATGCAATACATTCATACATAATCCCATAACGAATTACAAGAAAAAAAATTCCTATCTCAAAATATGAGAAAAGACACTATTGAGGTTAATGGAATGAAAATCAGAATAAAAAGAATTTTAGGTTACCTATAATCCCCATCTCATAAATTATGTTTTATGTAAGCAATTATTTAATTATTTTTTGCTTCGTTACTAAGTGAAAGAAGGACAATGTAAAAAAAACAATAAACCAACAAATACACTTTAATATTTATGAATTTGTAAAAAGTTTATACAGCAAACCACTGAATCATTGCTTTGTATTAACACATACTCTAAAGTCGTATTTTTAATTAAACGAAGCTGCCTGACGTTTACTGGGTTGTCAGGTTTTGATGAATATAAAATAGTGTTGTGACTAAATGAGTAAATAACTAAACGGAAAACAAAATTACTGACTGATAATGAAAACGACTGAATGGTAAAAACATTTTTTTATAACTGAAGTTTTTAAAAATTACGTCAAAATTTATTAAAGGTTCATCCATGTTGTCGGTTCATCAGGCGAAAATTATCCATACTGTATTTCGTCATAGGGATTTCATAAAAAAAAACTATGCTTAAGGATTAACTTTTTTTATTCATCACTGTCAGTAACATTTATTATAAACTTGTCTGACACATTATCGATCAAGTGGCCGAGATTAAACATTTTGTCTTCTTCTTTTATTATGTGAGCCACGCAGCTACTCCATTTTTCGGTAGTCACTTCATAGTCCTTCCTCTAACAGTTTTTTTACATCTTTCATTTCGAAGGTCTTGTTGTTTCTTGCAACATACCCTTTGGCCTGCGCCCAATTCAGCTCAATGGGATCGAGCTCACAATGGTAAGGGGGCAAATGTAAAAAAGTGGAGTCACTTTTTTACGTTTGCCCCCTTCGCTCACGCTCATTTGTTTGTCCCATAAAATTGTTCTGTTTTTTGTTGCAAAAAGAGATCTGCCACGTCAAATTTACAAAAAATGGCGCTATCTATTATATATATCTTGTAATATTTAAACACATTATTTTTTAAACTTAAAAATGACATTAATAATGGTTGTGTTGTTTCGGATTTGTTTACCAACACAAGCCATTCGCCCTTATAGAATATGTGGATCGGTCGAGCGACTGATCCGAGTCTGTATTCGAGTTATCGCTGTCACAAAGTGATAGTCTTATTATGTAATTTCTATGTGATAATTGTTTCAATTTTTATGCGTGAGTTTTCATAGTGACAGATGATTGTTTTTTGTGTGTGCAGTTTTCCCTCCGTAAACTACGATATACAGTTGTGTATCGGGGTAAAACGCTATGGTAACAGACGGCGGCCCGTGTTGCTCTATGATGTTAATCTTTCTAAATTCAAAAAGGCGTGTGGTACTGGTACAGAGGCGGAGGCGGCGCGCGCGGCAGGGCTGCACGCGGCGCTGGTGAGCCGCGAGGGCAACGCGCCGCTACCCGCCGGCGCCGGTGCCGCCTTCGCCGTGCTGCACAGCCTGGCGCAGCTCGCCTCCAACAAGCGCAAGACCGAAGCACAGGTGCCGCGCCAACACACGCGCTATCACACGCGCTAACACACACGTTGTCACACACACTACCTCACCCGCCGCCACCACACACGCTATCACACCACGCACACGCTACACCTCAATATACTCTTATAAACTTCATACTATGCTCTAACAACATATCCAAACCTAAAATGTTTTTTTGAAATCTGTGGATGGATGTTGATGTAACTATAGAATATCTTTAGTCAACCAAATCTAAGAAATACCTTTTGACGTTTCACATTAATCATTTCGTAATAACTTTGCACAAGCGTACTCACACGATTTAAAATAACCTTTTACGTAAATCCGAAGAATTATGAAGTTATCTATATTTCATTACAACGTGTATAGTTTTTATCACTAATTTAAAATCGAATATTTCAAACAAAGTAAAATGTTTAAAAAAGTAACCAGTATCAACTTTTTTACTTGACGTCGTTTCAATGATATATCGCTATGTACCTTACCGTAGCGTTAGGATGATTAAAATTAATTGTTATGCGAATAATCGGAAAAAATATTCTAATAATCGAATCATTATTTTTTAATGCATTATTTGTTTAATAATATTTTTATTTTTGAAATTCTTTTAATTATATTAATAATGAATAAAATGAATAAAACAAGTTTATTTATTTTTTTACTTTGTTATCGTGAATTTGTGTAGGCAAAAAAAAAAAACTCATTTATACAAGGTCGCGCTGAAAACACCACTACGTAATTTCAATCTCCCGCCATTTCGGGAGCTTACTGTGCGTAATTTTGTGTTTATCTTCTTATTTTGTGACTCTGCTTTAACTTTTTGGACTGTTTCCTCTATATTCGTTGAAGCATGTGCATGTGCCCTTGTCACAAAGTATGATTGGGCAAAAGTGGTACAAAAAACAAAAAAATTGATTATAATATATAATTAATTTTTAATAATTATGTTTATTTCTCCTCACGAATATCGACCATACATAATAAAAACTTATTCTATTTAAATACAAGTATGTTCATACTCATAGCCTTAGAATCTGTGAAGAGCTGGTGTTTGAGATAGGCAATAAAATGCCTGTAATACAAATCACCAGGTCTCCACACCCCATGAGATAAGAGCATTATTTGTAATTGAGCATTACAGATATTGTAGATCTTAGGATTATATCATAATGTATTATTACGATATAAGTGACCATTTAATTTATATGTAAAACGAAAATTGTACTAAAAAAAGATTATGGATGACTTTGAAAGAGACATTAATTTTGACTGCATTATTGAAAATCAAATATAAATTAATCTAAACAACGAATTTGTTGTACTGAAAGTGATTGAATAAATTAATTTTTAATCTAGTTTCAATCTTAAATTTTCATAACTAACTATTTAACGCCTCTAGAAATAAACAGTAACAATAAATACGAAGAAACTGATAAATCTTTTGTTTTAAATTATCCGTTTTTAATTTATTCTAGTATTATTCAAACCAAAGTAAATGATTACTAACTCTAAATAATCGATATCGATTTTTTTAAGAATCGAATATTGTACGTTCCCACGTTTTTGTTGGCATGCTTGGTGTAATAAGTCTGACAGCTGTCAAAACGTATTTCTTAGATTTGGTTGACTATAATGTTAGTTATTTAAGTTTAGATTTTTTTATTGGAGGAGGGTTGTATTTTCTATAGTACTTTTTAAAGATGTTTCATTTTCGGCTTTGTATTTATTGTGTTTCATAAGTGGAAGTTTATATATAACAAGAAAGGGGAAAGTGACACAATTCTTCTTCAATAACAATTGCAGTAGATGGACTCTTTTTGTGAAAGGCTTATAGCTGGGAAGACACCACTCCCTTAAACAGTGCCTTCAAGTAACAGTGTGTTAGATTATTATAGACAATAAGATGGGCAGGTGCAGTGGTGAAGCCTCCATACAAGCCCAGAAGCCCGACTTGCCTTATCAAGCTGAATCAATCAATAATGTCAAGTAATAAAATAACTCGTAAACTGTTTCAAACTATTTCACATTTCCCGCGCGCTCTGTGCGACCTCGTAGCCTTAGGAATACTGCTGTCATACATATAAAGAGAGTTGAATTGAGCCTTTGGTTGTCTCCCTCGCACACTTGGGCTTTTCACCGGGCTTTCGAAAAGGCGATCGCTCCCTTTCTAACCTGTGGCAAAATCTTCTATAATGAAACATAACTACGATTGTATAAATAGCAATTAGTATGGAGATAAAAAGCCCGGCTTTTAGTGACCATCAATTTTTTCCTCAGAGCGGGACGCCTTTAAAATTATTATAGTTTTAACACATTTGACTGCCTTCTTGGTCTAATGGTCGTAAACGCAATTGCTGATCATGTGGTCCCAAGTTCGAAACCTGAGTCGGGTCAAGAATCATTTATTGGGTTTTTCTGTCACAAAATTCTCAGTAGCAGTAGCAGTACACTTGGGCAATATAATCCAGATGCGCAGATGGCTATTTTCCGTTGAGAACGGCCTTGTTACCAAAATTCAATCTGAAGCCCTTTAATATATAGGTTTATAAATAAAACACATAGTTGTTTGAATCTTTTAATGATCTAAAGTGAATTCTGAACATCAAATAAATACTAATTGGAAATAACTTACGTTATTTGATAATTTATTGTAGATTAATTAAAAATTGTCACTTCGTACCTTTAAATTCAAAAGTGTAGCTTTTCAGAATAATCACGTAACTATACAAGCCATGCTGGCAAACCTGGTACGCGCGGTGTCACAATGATGGCACGGGTGACAGAATTTGCATGATTGTCACGCTTTTGTTTGTCAAAGCGGGACATTTTTACGCATTTTGGGGACAGCGCGACACAAACCTTTAAATCGGGAACGTCCTGCCTAAAGGGGGACGTAAAGGCGGACGGACGACGTATACGTCACGTTAGGTATGAAGTTAGTGAGACACGGATACGCGCGAGCGACGCCGACGATATGTTTGCAAGTTCACGTCACGTTTCAATGTTTACATTGTGTGTTAGCTTGAGCTATTTTATAATGTAAAATATTGTGAGTTGAAAATATATACCTTTTTAAAGATTTTTAGTGAAAATGGAGGGAAAGAGTGTTCTTTGTGATGAATATAAGTGTGTTAAAATGCTAATAAGCGAGGAAAAGGTAAAATCTTTAAAAATAAAATTTTAATTCAATAAACATTTCTTCACAATTTAATAGGTATAGGGCTCTTTAGTATTAAAGTTTAATTATTCGAGGCGTATTTGAAGGTTTAAAAACTCAATACTTATATTACCATATGAGTCAAAAATATCATTTTGAACTGCAGCATAAAATATGAGATACCTAGCTATAAGTTTAATTTTATAGTATATAATTGTTACAATCTTTTTTTTTTAATGTGAAGCCCAAATTTTAATTTAATAAATTAAATGAACACATCATGTATTGAGGTTTTAAAAAATATTTCCTTTAGTCTTCAGTATATTAAATTTTAATAGCGCCATCTACTTAATTCTATAGGTGAAGTCATTCTATCGAACTAAAATTGATTGATTCTACTGTCATACAACCTATCTAGCAGTAGTATTCCTTCTGTGTACTTTGTTAAACATGTCCTCGACAGAAATGAATATGAAACTAAAAAGTGGAGACAGATCAAGATTGGTGTATTTTTATAAAACTGCTAAAAACAACAAAACCATATCTTGGGCTTGCCCTAGTTTGGAGCCCTAGCTTCGCCACTGGGCAGGTGATTTAATAACTAGTTTGTAAAATAACTATACTATAGATATAGACAATAATGTGGATATTATTGTCTATAGTAATCTAACAAGTGTGTTCCAGTCTTGAGGGTATAATAGTAAGCCAGTATCAAGCTGTGAGGCATTCCATCTTAGTCTTCGAGATGACAATGCAACTGTAGTCTTGTTTATTTAAGGTTGTCGGTGTGCTGCAGTAATAACTTACAATCAGGTGCGCTGTAGGTTCGTGTTTCACTTTAGCTTTATAAAAGAAATTTAAAAGTATAGTATATCATAAGAAATTCAATATCGGGGCATTTTAATTTGTAATTAGTTTACATGTTGAAAGATGAATATCATAAACTTTTACTCTTAGAAATTATTTTCAACTATGAACAAGGAATTCCGTATATTACTATTTATTTTAGGTAGGTTATAATAACACTCTTTCAACATATCTCCAACTGTACTTAACCCTTCAATCCCGATAAAATTCCCATGTAGTCGCATGCGCCTGGCAAATCCCGAGCGGTCGCATGCGACCGCACCCACCCACAGTACTTTAAACCATTAAAACTTATATTTAGAGACTATTTTTCTACAAAGAAGTTTGGCATTATAAAATATATACAAAATTCTCTATATATAAAAGTCAGGTTTTAGTTCATTACAAAAAGACTATTGTGTTTTGATAACAAAAACAAAACATACCAAGCTAATGTCGGCAGCGTGAAAATCACAATTATTTCAATATATATTACTCGAAATTATTTACGTAAAAAGATAAATTATATTCACACAAAATTTTTCATTACAATTTTATAATAAAACACTACTAAAACACTAGAAAAATTCAAAAATCAACACAATAACATTCACGTGAAAATGGCGTATGAAATGAACGTAGATTATAAATAAAAATCCATACCATAACTATTTTTTATTGCACTAGAGGATAGAAAATTTCGTATTGATTCTATAATGCCAAAGTTTTTCATAGAAAAGTAGTCTCTAAATATAAGTTTTAGTGGTTTAAAGTGCTGTGGGTGTGCGCGGTCGAATTTGACCGCTTGAATTTTGACGGAATAGCATTGCGATCGAATTCGACCGCTTAGGGGTTGTGAAGGGTTAACTAGTTTCGAAGTTACTTGTTTAGTCGCCGACAGCGCATTCAGATGCAAGATGTTTTTAAGCTATTGCATAGCTTAGGCCTTGAGTGCGGGAAAATCCAGAAATTTCATAACCAAAAAAACCTCACGCTCTCCGACGGGCACGGAGGTGTGGCTTGAAGGCCGTGCATTGTCTAACGATGGTCTAACGGTTTTCCTCAGTCTTCGACACGGTGTTTGTGTATAAAGTGTTTTGAAATTTTGAATATGAATGAACAAAGTGCATTTATTATTAATGAAGAAAGTCACGAAAAAATAGTGAAAGAAAATGAGTGAGTACTCTATATACGTACCTACATTTTATTATTATCACAAATGCAGTACTAATTTTGAATTGAAAATATAATACTGCTATAAAGATAACCTAAATTTTTGATATTAAAATGAGCGATATTTAAAGTAGCACTCTTTATATACACACAAACACACACACGCGTATAGTTTAAATTCTCAATTTAGATTCTCAATATGTATATATATACTCGATTAACCGGACTAATTGTTGCCGTTAGGGATTCGGATAATCGAAAATCCGGATGATCGAATGTATGAACAAAAGCGGGTTTTGTGCATTTGTAGTACATATGTACATACATAATGTTATGTGTTTATTAAAAATAACAATTTCAACGAAAATCAATGTTTATTAAGAAATTATTATTTTTTAATAAACATTGATTAAATTCCATGAAGAGATATAAATCTATATAACCATCCGTTACTTGCGACAAACGAGCCGCCGTCACCTAATTTTTTATTTAATTGTAATGCTTTTTCACAAAGCAAAGGGCCAGATATCATTTGCCCAGTTGATCGTTTTTGTAAAAACCAACAATACAAAGCGTCTTCTAATTGCCAATTTACTCGCGGACATAGGTCCTTATGTCCGGGACGGGGGTTTGTTAGCGCCTGATAGTAGATCGTCTTATCTCAAGCGGTGTGAATGATTAGTGAGGTGCGGGAGGGGGAGGCTAGCTGCATTTGTGCGCGCGGTCGGTCACCACTAAAGTTGGGCGTTATAACATACAACAGATAATATATTTCATTATATATTTTTAATCTTACAACACATTAGAATAATGAACCATTGACTGTTATAATATTATATTCATTATCGTTAGAAAGCGTCATCTGTTTACGTTTACGGTCCAACCGTCGCGTCGGCCGTGACAATGGGAGTCAATAAAAAAATACTACCTACATTAATTATGCCACAAGGATTGCGTATAGCTTACACTAATTTAAACTCTAAGCTAACTTAATAAGAGCTTATTTTACTAACACAAACGCGAAGCCGGGTTGTTCATATATTGAAAGTCTCCTTGTTTTGACTTAGATTTATGTTAATAGAGCGTGCCATTTAAACTTAAAGACAATTAATTGGACAATAAATAATAAGTGACAAATCTTGCCGTGGAGCGTGGAACTGAGTAGTTGCGCGTCTTGTTAATATAATTGCCGTACGGCCGCCCTGACGTATGTACTGCGCGAACCTGAGTTTTTTGCGACGCGGTCCGGTGATACAGTATTTTTCACAAATAGTGAGTTCGTTATAACGCGGGTTCGGTTAAATCTGGTTGAATTTGATTGGATTAACCTAAGTAACTTGAATTAATATCAAAGAAAAAGAAATACTGCATAAATAAAGTAAATAAATAATTATAATTGCATAAGTTGATACAAAATGCTATGCAATAGCTTTACCGCGGCAGTCCCCGAGTGCCACACGTCTTTTTATTTCCACCTGGATTACTACAGCGGCTGGTGTACCACAAGGTAGCGTGTCGTCTCCTCTCCTCTTTGTTTTTTTTTAATTTTCACTAAAGTCATAATCTATCCCATTCCTACCACTTGTATGGCAATGATCTGCAAATCTATACTCTGTCCTCTCTTGAAGTTTTGTCTAAAGCAATTAACACTGTTAACGCTTATATGACTTGCTTTCCGAAGCACAGGGGTGATACACCGCCAAGCTCCTGACTCCAGGCAGCTATTGAGAAATTCTTGACGGAAAAACTCAATAATTAATTTTTTCACCCGACCCGGGATTCGAACCCTGGACCTCATGATCAGTCGTTACACCACCGCAAACACTAGACCAACGAGACAGTATAGTGATATAATAGTGATACCACCGCGGTCTGCCTTCTCTTTTGTCGCTAGATCACAATTACCAATAAATCGATTACGAACTTATTTCCCGTTGTCTCTCTGCTCCCTCAAGATATTATCCATCATTCATTAATTAAATATAGCCAATCAAAAGTCCACTGCTGAATGTAGGGGGAACATATGCCATAGTTCTCTCTATTAGCGAGATCCTGACTTACCTTCTTGATTTAGAAATATTTTAATCCAAGCAGATAAAACTTTGTTGGACATAACTGATGGTTTATATTTTCCGCTAAGCAAGTGGTAAATTTATATAAATAAAAATTAATTACTGCATGTATGAAAGATCAACACCCCAGAAAGGCTGGACAGATTTCGATTAACACACACACACTTACAATTGGACCTGGTAAATGGCATTGTTGTGCAAACAGTCGTGCAAAGCCGGGGCGGATCGTTAGTCAGCATATAAAATTGAGATTATATGGGATTCAACTTGTTCATGTAACATGTGTCTGTCAAGACTTAGTATTGATACCTCCCTAATTATTAGTTTTTAAAGTTTACAAAACTAATATTTGAAATGTAATACAAATACAATAAACATCATCACTAAATTTATAAATAAATTTACTTGATCGTTCGATTTATTATAAGTCTAGTCCTATTTTTTTTAAATATTTTTAGACATATAAAGTAATAAAAATAAATAACAAAACAAAAACGCGTATATCGATGTCGATTGTAGCTAACATTGCGAACGAAATCACTATAAATTAAGGACATAATTATCCTATACCTTTAAACGAGCAATTCTTGATATATATATAAAAAAAATATATATATATATATATATATATATATATATATATAATCGGAAACGGCTCCGATTTTCATAAAATTTAGTGTCCAGGAGTTTTCGGGGGCAATAAATCGATCTAGCTAGGATTCATTTTTAGAAAATGTCGTTTTGTCCGTGTTTTCAGAATTATGATTTTGCTTAGTAGTGCACTAAATAAAGACTTCACCTTTCTAAATCCGTAATATTCTGCAAATAAGCTGCTCACATCGTTACGATATGGCCCGTGAAAAAACCCTAATACATGCAGTTTTCGACGCGAATCGCCTATCAAACAAAATTCAAAAAAAAATTGAAAAGCCTTGTTGGACTTTTCTATTTTGTTTATTTTTCATAGAATAAAAATTAAAACTAATTTGTTAAATTTTTTTCTCAAAAAAGGTAAAGGCCTCTTCATTTGATATACCAATAAGTTTACAATTTTTGTAATATGGGAATCTATACACTTTCATCATCAAGTGTCATCTTTATGATATATATTTAGAATTTTTAACGAGCCAATTATTATCCGCGTTTCTATCTTCAGACAACCCTTGTCCGTATTTGCAATCTTTATTTAAAAATTATTTTGTTATTATTGTTGTGAAATAAAGATTTTTTTATTTTGATTAATTACGTTCAAGTAGATTTACAAAGGTTAAAACACTATAAGTACTACAATTTCTTAAATAACTCACGTAAGTAACGCTAAGTAAAAAACTGTTTTCATTTTAAATAATTTTACAACCTTACTAGGAAGTGATCGTGTGGGGTAGATATATAAATTAATATGAATAATATTAAAATACTTGAAATGTGCAAAGAGATTGTTGCAACGGCGTTTCGTGTGTTATGTGTTACTATCAGAATCTTGTTTTTGTTGTCCACTAATTTTACTTATAGATTTTTATTTTAGTAATCTATATAAATAATAGACCAAGCATAATTTTGCGGTAATTAATTATATTGAAGATGTGAATGTTAATTGTACACCAAATTGTACAAGTATTAAACTTAACTCAATCATGAGTTTATAATTAGTTTTGGTAGTTGATATTTTAATTAGTCAGCCCATCTAAGACTTTAAAAGGTAACTCAATCACATCACTTTTCGCTTTACTTTCTAGTTGTCAGCATTATGTTGTAAGAAATCCAAAGAAATAAAAATGTGTTTACAATGATAAGCTATTGGTTATATTATATTTTACAGGTATATTACAGTTATTTTGAAATAAAATATTATATATTCAAATTAAGTTTTTATTTTGCCTTTTTTAATTGTTTGCACCACTTCCTATTTATTTTACAATTATCACTCTTCTTATCTCTCATTCAAGATTTTATTACATAGGTTATATCATGTCAATGATATTGTCTCTGTTACACATTTATTATAGCTGTTTTTGTTCTATTTAAAAACTGTGGTTGTCAACCCGCCTGCCAAGTGTAGAAACAATTCAAAGTCCCTTCTTTAAGTCAAACTTTCAAGCTTCTCTCTTAATGGGGGGCATATATATGAATATATTATTGTCTTGTGTGAAACATAACTGAGTACAGTAATAATCCTCTTCTATTATTAATTTTAAATTAAAAATATTTTTAAGTAGTATTTTATCTCTATTAATGTAATAGAGGTAAAGTGATTATTATATCTATTCCATGTTTCAGGACGAGCTGCCCGCAAAAATTGCCAAAACTGACAACGAGGGCAATGCCAAAAGTGAACCAGACGTAGAGCCTGTCATCTCCGCCAGTGTAGAAAAAGAAATCAAGAAATCAGAAAAAATGGAAGTGGAGGAAGAAGAAAAAGTTATTAGTTCTGCAAAAGAAGTAAAGGAACAAAAAGAAGCTGAGGCTGCATGTGTAGTAACAGAGACCATTGTTGAAGAAGTTACTGATGAACCAATGGATATTCCTGTAGCTGATGTAGAACCTATTGTCATTGAAGAGATTGTAGAGAATACTGAAAAGAAAAAGACCGATGAAATGGTAATTGATTCCACAAAATCCGAACCGTCTACGACTGAATCCAAAGGAAAGGAAGATATGGTTGATGAAAGGATAAAGGAGAATTCGCCTAAGAAGGCTGCTCCTGTTGCCGAAGAAACTCCGCCCACCGTTATTACTGAAATCGAAGAAGTAACAATGAAAAAGTTTTAGGCGAAGCTGAAGATATAATTGATCATATTGAACCCCTAGTTGAAGAACCTCCAGCAAATGAAGACATGGAAGTCTTACAAAGTGCTGGAGAGGTTCTAGAAAAGGAATGTGATGAAATTTTATCAAAAGTTCAAGACGTTACTAACTTGGACACTATGTCCGTAAAACCCTTACTTAATCCTATTGCTGAAGAAACTATGGAAACTGGAGATTCTAATGATACAGTTGATAGAATATTAGATACCGAAATACAACAAATGAAACAGAATGAAAAGAGTGAAAATGTTGATACAAAAAAAACTGAAATAGATGTGAACGAAGAAACAGAAGCACTTACGGTAGACGACAAAAAGAAATCGGAAGGTTCTACTGACAAAGCATTAGAAACAAGCCCAGAACAAAAATTAAGCGAACAAATGGAAGAAAAAAAGAATGAAGAAATAGTTAAAGAATCAGAGAAAGACCCTGAAAATAGTAAAGCAGAGTCAAAAGAAGACAATATAACTAAGGAAACTAATAAAGGCGAGATTGGAAGTACAGAAGCGTCTGCTGAAGTAAGTGTAGAACAAAAAATATCTGACAGCGATACAAAAGTTCCTTTAGATTCAAAAGAAAATACTTTAGGGGTCGAAGTAAAGCCTGAAAGTGAATCAGCAGAGTCACAAGTGAATGGGAAAACAAATGGAGAAACTGTACCTGTTAGTTTGAATGGAGATGCTAGCAAAGATGAAGAATTGAGTTCTCGATTGTCAGCTGAAAATGGTAAACAAGAAGAAGTAAATGGTTCCAATGGTGACGCTGTTGTAACAGAAAAAGTCCAAGAAGATAATAAGGTTGAAGCTGAGGTGTCCGATATCAAAGTCAAAACTGTTCCGACTGAGGAGCCACGCACTGATCCAATAGAACAACCTACGGAAGCATAAAATTGTGGTGAGTTCCTAGTTACATATTTTTTTTGTTAACCGTGTCAACTGATCGTCAGAGTACTGCTACTGCTGCTGCTGCAGCTACTGCTCCCTGGGTTAGAACATCAGCTGAGAACTAAAATTGTTGCATAAGCAAGTTGTTTGTAGGTGTGGTTGTGGGTTATGATTTTTTTTGTTCATAGGATAAGGGTGACAAACAAGCACACAGTCCACCTGATGGTAAGTGGTTGCTGCGGCCCATAGACATCTACATCTTTCCTCGATTACGAATCAAAATGCAGATGCGTTGTCACTGTGAGGACTAAGATGAAATGCCTCATTTCCAGTAAAAAGGCTTTGGTTCTTCTCTACACTCACCATACGCAACAAATCATCATTGAGCTGTATTTTACTTTTTGCTATTTTACGTTGGTGTTCTGTAAGAGCGTGGTCTTCTGGTTGAGCCAACGCATTCATGTTATAACTATAGTACTGATGAAGCTGCAGCATGGCTCTACCGCGTAAATTGCGATTGTACAACACCGCATTATTATATATTATGCATATGTGAATGTGGCTCAGTTGATGGTAAATAGATCGTAGTCATCCATGATCTTATTGTATAAGCGTCGTATTGAATTCGGTCACCAGGTTCCGTAAACGGTTTTTCATTAGCATCAACAGGATGCACTGCGTAAAAGTGAAGTTGGTATATTAGGAAAAAGTTGGCATATTGACTGTGCCTTAACTCATTTAATTTTTAAAACTAAAAAGATGTCTGCATATTAACAGTGTCTAGAAATCTTAACTAACTTAATAAACTTAACAAGTTATTTTCATTTATATGTTGACCATAAATATGATTTCAGAGCAAGACAGAAAACATTCAGGAATTTGTAGCATTGTTGGCTCACATCAGAAGAATGACAAGACTGAGGTTGCTTCCACACTAATTGACATCACTTCCTAGTTTATATGTATTGAATTTCCACTGTGTACCGTTTGTGGTGACTGGTTTCGTACATTGTCCACTCCTAAGAAATATCGCAAAATTCCTTAAAAACTATGCATAAATAATTACCGAGTATGTATAATTGAGTAAGGTATATTATTGTCTAAGCTATGTTTAAATTTTATTAAATTGAGTCATCGCCTCTGATTTGTAAGATGCAACCGTTCAATTGCTTCTAGGTTGTACAAGACAAATAGGAAAGTGTGTGAAATTTTATAAATTTACCAGTATTTCTACGGATTAGGTGTATTTATGTGTAGTCTAGACATTCATATTCAATTATATTTGAATATTTGTGTTTATATTTTTAGTCACATAGAAAATAACTTTTTATACATTTTATATATGCAACAGTTAAATAACATTAATTAGAAATTGCAGCAGAAATTGACAAGATTTATGGCTTATTTTATTTGTTGTTGAGGTTAAATTTTGATGCCTTCAAAATTGTTCTAAGATATGAATACTCATTTAGTATTCCCGTTTGCTAGTTTCCTATTATTGAGGGCTACAGCAAAACTAGATATAAGACAGGAATTTTTTAAACTTGAGATTTAAAGTTAATACTCCCATTAAAGAGACACTCATACTAGGTTTTAAAAGCGATAGCAGTAGTCCTAACGGGGATGATAATGTAGAAACAAGCTGTCACCACTTAACGTATTTGACTAAGGTAAGTTTTATTCCATAAGTATTAACTGTATTGTGATCTAAACTATCGTATATATTATAATATTATATATTACTGGATTTTTTCAAATCTTCATTCACTGCCAAAAACTGCTTTCGTTTGATGTTACTTTGTGAGTTCTTGTATTGTGTGATATTGAAACTATAACAAGACTGTAATTAGTTATCAAGTACATGGGCTGTGTTTGTTATATTGGTTAAGTGATGGGAATTTTTCGTATGAGTTAGTTTGACACTTGGTCTCACTTTAATTGTTGCTTGGAGACTGTAAATTTCATAAGTAAAAATATTTAAAATTGTAAGAATCTCACATTCATTGGCATGAGGTCCTCAAGGACTCGACTCAGTGGTAGTAAAAGAACCGTTTGAACTGGTGCTTTTTTGTATATTTTGCTTTTTTTATTTTACTACTTCGTCTTTAAAATTAATAATATTTTTCAACAAATCTGAATATACAAAGGGAACAGGGAGGTTTGTGTAAAATAAAGATAGCAAAACTTAAATAAAGAGAATAAAGTCTGGAAATTAATTCTGTTCATGTTCATGGATGGTACCCAATTTATAACTGATAGTATTATTTATTCCCCCTATTTTCCTATTAATGTAGTATTTCTGCATTTATATATAAGTTCTAAATTTGTTCCTTGTACTTTTTTTTAGTTTTAAGTTTGTAATGTATGCGACAGGAAGCAACGTCAAACGAAAGAATCAAGCTTCCGACTAGACTGATTTTTTTACTAATACTAAGTAACAATTCAATTCCAAGACCAGTGTTTAAAATATGAGAAAATGACTTATTGCATTATCTTTGTTTCTGATCTAACTGTGGTACTGAGACATTAACAGCTGATAAATATATGCTTAATTTTTGTAAGAAACATCCTTTGCAGTGTTCCTTTTAGATAAAATGAACTGTGACTTTCAAATTGAAATTTTGATTATCATCTTTAATGTCGTTGAAATATAATGAAAGTAGAATTTTTAATTGACATTTCATTTATCTGTATTGTTTACTTTAGAAAATGTTCACATAAAACCTTACGTTTATTACTATTAAATAAATTACAAAAACAAATGGCTGCATAATTTGTAATAGTTACCGTACCAATGTATACTTATATAAATAAAATTGCTGTGTGTAACCTACGAGTAATCTTCGAGTTTTTCAGCTTATTTTTTTTTAAATGCTCATTCTGTTTTATCCAAACAGAAAATTATTTTTTTAACATCATTTGCGTGCCAGAGCAAAGCTGCAGCTATCTATATTATGGTTGTAGCACGAATAGGTTGGCTCGACCGGGGTACGCAATGCTCTTACAGAAACCGAGCTTAAATTAGCAGCTTAATGCTGTTGTGTTTCGTATGTATTGTGAGTTTAGAGAACCTGAGACCCATTTTAATGAAATAGAAATAGAAACTTTTTTATTCAATGTAGATTATGAAAATACTTATTGAAAGTCACTTTTTTAATTTAATTTACCACTGGTTCGCAAAAAAACCTCTGTCCTGGGAAGAACTAGCAAGAAACCCAGCGGGACTATTTTTTTAATAATAGCTTACAATCATGTTTACAATCAACAACACAAGACAAATTAGAAATAGCTTGGTAGCGATCACCCTTCCCAGGGGTTATTATCATCTATAAATTCCTTAATATTATAATAACCCTTTTTTATACAAACTTAGTTTAATAACATTTTTGAACTTTGTGTATGACACATTTTGTATATTTTCTGGGATTTTGTTGTAAAAGCGTATACATCTCCCCCAAGAATGAATTACTAACTCGGTGGAGTCGAGTAACTGGCACTACCAGCTTGTGTTTGCTCCTAGTATTTACAGAATGAATATCACTTATTTTCGCAAAACTACTTTTATTTTGTGTACATACATTACATTTTCATAAATGTATTGAGAGGCCAGAGTTAATATATTAATTTTCTTAAATTTTTGTCTCAGTGACTCTTTTGGTTTTAAATTATATATTGCTCTAATGGCCCTCTTCTGTAAAATAAATATAATTTCAGTGTCAGTCTCGTGTCCCCATAGCAAAATACCATACGACATAATGCTATGGAAATAACTAAAGTAAACTATTCTAGCTGTTTCAACACTGGTAAGAGTTCTAATCTTTTTTTACAGCATATGCTGCAGAACTAAGTCTGCTAGCTAGTTTTGATATATGGGGGAGCCATTGAAGCTTTGTGTCCAGTGTGATTCCAAGAAAAATGGTGGTATCAACAAGACTCAGTTTCAATGAAAACGAGGCATTTCATCTTAGACCTCAGGTGTGGCTATGCATCTGCACTTTGATTCTTAATCGAGAATAAAGGTGTCTATGGGCCGCAGCATCTACTTACCGTCAGGTAGACTGTTCGATTGTAACTCTTATTCGAACTCGAAAACTGACAAAAATCCATTGCCAGCCATAGGTCTCTCACAATATATTGCCTCTACTAATATATCAGTATCTTAGGAATACGAAATAACGATACATACTTTTTTTTAATTTAGTGCAAATTATTATTGAAAGTATTCTTACGTTAAAGTTAATACCACTGGTGTGGATAATACCTCCTGTGAAGAACCAGCAAAAAGGCGAGTGTTATTTTTTTTAAACTGTACTAATATAAGAAGCGGCTTGGTAGCGATCACCTCATTCCCAGAGAATATCATCCAATAAATATTTAAATATAATTGCTCATTTTCATACACATTTTTGCTTAATTTTTTTTTGTATTTTATGGGAGTTTGTTTTCATTTTTATAAAATCCCTTTTTTATAGAAATGTAACCCAGTGATATGAATAGTATTCCATGTTTCCATGCGAGGTTGAACTTGCACCTTGTAAAGCTGCAAGTAGGCGTGAATTGTTGTCCCGTTATACGTTTGGCCTTCCTTTCTAAGTGACCACGTAACACAAAAGTTATTTAGATTTCTTTGCCACAGAACTTAACATGTGCCTTTAAAATGAAACTAAAGAGGTTAGAGTAAGTCAGCTCAAATTCTAATTTCGCCCCCACTTCCCCGCGCGTCGTATGCTATGTACCGACATGTTTGTAATCACTAATACTCTAAGTAGATAGGTCGTTAGATACTTATTTTATTAGGTTTATCATATTTATGCCTGTTTCTTAACGCCAACCCAGTCGCTTCTTATTTTTATAACGGTTATTTCCCATTTTAATTTTACGTCGTCCTGTTGCGTAATGTGTATTCTGATCGTAAGCGACACAACTTCTCCCTTCAAAAGCCGGAGCGATACTAACGGGGCGACAGGAATCAAGCTTACGCGCCGATAGTTTAGGTAATTTCTTTTTTACAGTGAAAATAATGGTATTTTAAAAAAAGTAAATAACAAGCACTGCTTTATAGTTAGTTCAGTTAGTATGCAAAGTTTCATGATCTTATTTAAAGTATTTTATGAATAACAGCGGTTTATTGTTCAGTTTGGAGATAACTTTGAGATTTTTTTTCTATCGAGAAAATTTTACGGAATCGTGTTTTCGTCTAACATAAACCTTAACATTAATCCTCAACTTTACCATATATTTATTTCAAAATTAATGTTGCAATACTTTCGGCATAACGGAGGATCTTGCTAAGCCATTTGAGGTTATATTTCCCCTTAATCTCGAAAATATTGGCTCAGCCGGTGTGAATCATCAATGTCGTCATCCGCATAGGATGCTGCAATTTTTTTTTTTGGTTTATGTACGAGCACAGTCCACCCGTCGGCATAGGGATAAATCTATCCTCGTCTAGTGGACCTATCCGCACTGCAGTATGGCTCTACCACGCAGGCAGCATAGTCGGACGCTAGAGAGGTCGCACTTTTAGGAATTTGGTACTCAAAAGCTGTTTTTGCGACAAAATGACTTCACAGAGGAAGCATTAGCCAATTAACCATTTTCATTTGTGCAAAGATGAAAGTAATTTACTTTTAATTTTTTTATTCAACTATATATTGGCCGTATGAGGACGCTCAAGGTCACTCAGCGAGCTATGGAGAGGGCTATGCTCAGGAGTTTCTCTGCGTGATAGACTCAGAAATGAGGATATCCGCAGTAAAACCAGTGACCGACATAACCCAACGGATTAGTAAGCTGAAGTGGCAATGGGCCGGCCATATAGCTCGAAGAACCGATAACCGATGGGGAAGAAAGGTTCTCGAGTGGCAGCCTCGTACCGGTAGGCGAAGTGTAGGGCGACCCCCCACTAGATGGAGTGACGAACTGGTAACACATGCAG